GAAGAAGAAGAAGAAGAAGTTAATGAAATTACTGTAACCTTAGCCTTCAAGTCAATAATAGAAGGCTCTACTCCTTCAAATGCTCTACAATGTCTCTCACCCCACAAATACCATAGTAAATAAAGGGGCACCATGGTCCAAAAAAAATGATTCCTTCGTTTACCAGAGACACCTCTCAAACTAGCAAGCATTTTAATTGCTATCTTAAGCATGACTGAATTATCTCCAGAAATGGAAAACATAGACCTCATTTCAAAGAAAATTGCATGTTATAATTTTTTATTTATATTGAAAAGCTCCATAAATATAACATTGATCATAACATGAGAGACATTATTACAGAAAACGAAGAACTAATACTTAATTTTTGAAATTATTACAGACACTGAAAGATTTAAATCACAATAACTGATGAAAAATACTTCAAGGAATATCTTTAAGCTGATGATGTCCAAAGATTTGATCTTTTATGACATATTAATAAAATGGGCAAATTCTACATTCATCCCATCTTAAATTCAATATACAACATCTGAAAATAAAATTAGCTGCATAAAAAACGCAGTCAAAAGCAACTCCCATTAATTCAGGGACTAAATTATAATTCATTAATATAATAATCCTAGGAACCCATAATTTAAAAGATCCAGACAGCTTATTGACGATCTGTACCATTAACCTAAACCCCAATATGTATCAAGAAAACATGCAGATCACATCACATCTCTATCAGGAATTTCCATAAAAAGGAAACCTTTTCTGAATCTATGAACATAAGCACACATATCAAAGTTAAGAAAGATAATTAAACAAAATAGCATTAATGGGTTCTAATGACTCGAACAGCTAAAATTGCATGGATAGAGAACGAGAGGTATACAACAAAGGAAGAGTTTACCTGATGAAAACGGCGGAGTCTGAAGTGGAAGAAGAAGGGAGGGAGAAGAGCGACGAATGCGAGAGAAATTAGGATGAAACGAAGCTTTCTATAGGAAGAAGAAGAAAATCTAATCGGAAATCGAGGGGCGCGCCCTGGAAACCTCTGATGCAGCTGTTGCTGTTGTTGTCTTCTTCCTAGATGACCGGAGATCGCCATTTCTTCAAACTACGCATGCAGGACGGCCGCAGACAGCTCCCGCGTGTGTGATGAATGATAAATGGGTTTTATGGGAATATGATAAGAAAAAGGGATAATAGACTTTCATACGGCAAAAAATAGAACGCTTTCAAAGAATTAAAAAAATCCGAATCTAATAATTTACTTCTAAATCTTAATATTTAGATTTATTTGATAAGAGATTTTATTAAATTATAAAAAAAGGTAAAAAAAGGTAAGTTAAAAGTAAAATTATGAAATTATTTATATATAAGTTTAAAACGAGAATTTAAGACGAGAATTTCAACCTTTTAAAACTTATTATTTTTGAAAGATCAAATATGAAAATTCATTGATATTTTAATAATCTTACATCCTCATTTATCTCAAAATTTAAATTTAAGATTTTTAATTTATAATTAAATTTAAATTTAAAATTATTAACTATTTAAAATATTTCTTTTAAGGGTGTTATTGCTTCTTTTAATTGTAGTTATAAGTTTATTTCCAACTATTAAAATTAGCAATATCTTAAGTGAACATGTGATGATTTTTTAATATTAAAATTAGAGATTCAAAATCAAATAATGTTTAATATGTAAGTGGTTTAAATTGTGGTTTAAATTGTGTAGGAGGTCGAGAAAAAAGTGTAATGTAAGATATAATAAGTAATTATATTAAAAAAATGTGATATTAATTATTTAAAAAATAATAATAACTCCACCAATTTTAAATCATCAAAAAATATTAAAAATTAAATATTTGCCTTAATTTCTACCTTTATGCATGTTGAGACCATTTTTTATTCAAATGTAAAAATTTGAGTAATATTTAAAATTTATGGAAAAAGTTAGGCCCAAATGAAATGTTAAGCACAGTAATATCAAAGTGTTTTTTTTTTTTTACACAGATAATGATTAAAAAGTTAGTGAATTAATTGTTAACAACTGGTTCTTAAACTAAATAAACATTTCATCCACTCAAATAAAACGTACGGTTATCAAGGCGTGCAACTCTCGAAATGCACAACTCTCAAGATACATGGCTCTCGAGATACGTGACTCTTGAGATGCATGACTATCGAGATGCATGATTCTGGAGCAACTTTTTTATGAAATTCAAACGATGATGAAATTCGAAACTCTAACCATATCACCGAAACACTAAAGTTCCAAGGTCGAAAACATTGGTAAGAAATCCCGGTACATCAAAGTGTTTATTTATGGTAGGAAAGATGGAGACTAAACCTTTGATTTACTTTAAAAAAATAAAAAATAAATAAATAAATAAAGACTTACTCTGAAAAGAACTTGAACTTCCCAAATTGTCCCTGTTCATCAAGCTGTTCTTCCCAATTCGTCCGAGCTCTACATTCTACTTCTTCTGATACCCAGCAACATCGGACAAACCAAATCCCTAGCTTCACCGCAGGCCCGCCGGCCATCTCCTTAGTCGCCGTCGTCGAAGACGCTCTTGAGGTCGCTTTCATTTCCCTCTTGTTCTCTGTTTCTTACATCAAGATTTCTACCGTCCTTGATCTACGTGTTACTGGGTTTCACTAACTCACGGATAGTTGTTCTTGTTGTTCCATATGCATATCCAGCATAATTCAGGGATTCTACGTGGATTAGCATTAACTTTGAAAGTGTTTTGGGAGGAATAATTATGATTTGATTTCGTATTTATGCATTTTTTCTGATTTCAGATTGTTTGGATCATCACCATGGAAGCTAAATTCTTTCGCTTTCTTAAGATTGTGGGTGTTGGGTACAAAGCCAGAGCCGAAGCCGAGGGGCGCCTCTTATTTCTCAAATTGGGATACAGTCATGAGGTTGAACTAACTGTTCCTCCAGCTGTCCGTGTTTTCTGCTTCAAAAACAATGTAGTTTGCTGCACTGGAATTGACAAGCATAGGGTGCATCAATTTGCTGCTTCTGTTCGTAGTTGCAAGCCTCCCGAAGTCTACAAGGGAAAGGGTATAATGTATATTGATGAAGTTATCAAGAAGAAACAGGGAAAGAAGTCCAAATGACCTCAAGAATGTGATACTGATGGGCAATTTTTTCTTTTGCATGTTTACATGGTTGTATTTTCAATTTTCTCATTTTGTAGAACTGAATTGAACCTCCCAATCCAATTTTAGGTGGTATTTTTCCATTGTCAAGGATATTTTAGATTCATTTTAACAACTTTACAGTCTTTCTGAGGTTGTTTAATAAATTTGTTATTATTATGTAGCAGGATTCGTTTAGTCTTTAGATGCAGAATCTCTAGATTTCTAGAGCTGGCGTTAAAATTGGTTTCATTTCTCCAGCCTCGTGGAATTAAAGTTAATGTAAGAACTGTGTGTTATTTTCACAGGTTAATAGCAGTTTCTGCTTCTTATGGATTCTGTATAACAGGACTTACTGCACCAAGGTTGCTGAGGATATTGGCACTCAATTACAGCAATAACAGGTCTGACCCTAGAAGTCCATGTTTGTATTCAAGCTTCATAAAAATGTTTGTATGGTTTTCACAAAGTCCTCAGTATGTTATGTGTTATGTATATAATCCCTATCATCATCAAGTATGCATTAGCTTTCCTAAATTGACAGTTATATGATACTGCTTTAGTGACTTTAAAAATGTATACAGGGAATGACATCTGAATTTAAAGGCTATGTCTTGTGTTTAACATCTCATTTCTAATTACCCTCGCTATAAGATATAGGAATCAAATCAAAGATACTTCCATGTGCACCAATGGAGATTTCTTACAAGTTTAGATGTATATTATTGTTATTTGGAGTTACTTACAAGTTTAGATATATATTCTTGCTATGTAGTAATTGTACATTGTCACTTTATCATTATCTTCGGTGGTACATGCTTTGATAAATGTTAGGAAAGATAATGGGTGATAAAGGAAAGGCAAGGCAAACTAATCACTTTATCCCAAGAGTCCCAAGAGCTGCTGAAATGTTGTGTGCTTCATAACTTTCTACATAGTTGATGTTAGGGCTCTCCATTGAGACTGTATCTTCTTTTTTAAAATTGTCCTTACCGCGGAGAAGCTTCTCACTGCCACACTCAACTGAGCCTTTCAGAATTAGAGTCTTGTGAAGGCCACCCAACAGCTCTTCATAGTCTGTATCCCCTAGTTCCCCCATAAACACAATCACTTTGGAAAGATCGATCCCCCACCTAATTGAAAGATACCTGTAGTTCATAGGACATAGAAGTTTTTATTTATGATAGTTGCTTTAAGTATCGTTTTGCAGCAAATAATAATGAGAATGTTATGTGTTGTTATGTGTAGTGTAGAAGGGGTTTCACCTTAGTGCTTGTATTCTTGATGCAAATAATGGCACCACATTTAACCTTGATGCTGCACGTGTGAAGATTAGGTTGCATCGGAAACCTCTCATTCGAAGCCTTTGACGGAGATCATCAATCCTTCGAGTCTGCTATGCATTAGATTCATCATCATCATCAGAATTTAAAAAAAAAAAAAAAAAAATCGAGATTTTAGCTGATGTTCTAATTTAGGTACTACTTATTTACTTTCCTTTAGCATCAGCCTATTTTTAACATTATCATAATTATATCTCACCTTGGCGCCTGGTTTTATGTTATAAGAGTAGCATCTGGAACTGCAAACAGCTGCATCCTCTGTGATATCATCCTCGCACCCATCTTCCACCCTACCAAGCCTCATTACCGTTGATCTAACATTTTCACCTGGCCATCTGTACTCCAAGTGAGCCTCATAGTCCCCATCAGCAACCAAATCCATCCATGGGTAATACACTTCACTTCCACTGTTACAAATCAATGCATCAAAATCTTCTACATTTACTGGGCAAGAACTCAGTGCTTCCATAGTCTCCCTTAAGCTTGAACCAGTTACCAATACAAAGCCAATCTTTCCCAATCCTAAGCATCCTGCAGCTTTCATAACATTCTTGATTATCTCTTGAAATTTCTCTGTAGTACCTCCCTCGCTGTTATAGCAATCAGTAGCTATTACAAATAGCATCTGCCTTCTGCCAGGACTGTAAGAACTGGGATTGCCATTTGAAGAAGCCGTTTGGGAAATGGCTTCAATGAGTTTCTTCTGTTTAGCTGCCGCATCAATCTCACCATTAAGCTTGAAATCTCCTTCTATGGAAAACCTCAAAGATATGTCTTCAACATCTCTTAGAGAGTCACTCATAGGTTCTTCAGGAATTGTCATAATCTCAAGACGACTGGTGGGATGACGATTCCTACAATGTTCAACATGGGAGAGGTAGTTGCGGCAGTGTTCTGGCCATGAAAAACGGTTTATGTTCTTCAGGCCATTTTTCCGGCACTCACTCCAGAGATTCTTGTCAGCGACTAGCTTTAGGAGAGCATCCTCTATGGCCTTCTGATCATGCGGGTCAACTAGGAGGCCATTGTTAAGTGCCTGGAAGAAGAGTCTGTCATTGTTAATAGAGATGGGAGGTGGAAGATAAATATTTGCTGCATATAGCACACACCAGAACCTAGAACAAGGGTAGGCTAAATTGCATAGTCATAGGAATTTTATGGGGAAAGGCAAAATTATGTGGTATATATGGCTACAGTGTTAGTTCGGGGTGACATTTTACTGCATTTGCATGATTTTGGAAAATCCATGCCATTTAGAAGTTAACTACTAACAGAAACCAAGTCACTGGATGAGAAACTTAGGATGGTTTTTATGTTACCTTTAAGATGTCCACTGGCCCACCATTTTTGGTGGCAACAACGGGTAGACCATAAGCAGCTGCCTGCAATGTACAGAATAGATTATATACAATAAATTATGATGCCCAGCTGAAGTACTTGGTTGCTTCAGGAATCATATATACTTTTTAATTGTTCATGAAAGAAAACCTTGTGATTAGTTTACCTCTATGAGGGTGAGACCAAATGGTTCCACCAGAGCTGGATTGATGAAAACTCCCTTCAGGAAACAAAGCAAAGATAGCAATATTAGCAGACGTCTAGGAGTATCTAGGCTGCAGAATCTTACCCAATTAGAACATAGATATGTACCTTTGTTTTGGCAGCTAACCGATAAATCTCAGGAACCTCTGACTGCTTGTGATGCTTGGGATAGGCCACCTGACCGTACAGGTCATATTTGTCTATGAGCTTGAGTACAGTGGTGAGCACAATTGAACTGCTGTCGGGCATCCCTTCAATATCATCTCTGTTACCTAGTATTAATGTCTGCAATAGTACAATATACCAGATTTATGCTTAACTCTGCTCAAATCCTGTTTTGATGTCCAGAAGCTGAGGTAACTAGAAACAGTAATATTACCAGGTTGGCCAGTTCTCGGAGACGATGACATTCTCCAAAAGCCTTGAGCAAGGTTGTTACATTCTTCTTGGGGTCAGGACGGGACAACGCAAGTATGGTAGGCTTGTGAGGATTAGAAAAAAACCGCATTATCTGCATTGTAAATCCAGTTATATAGCGTTAATGCACTTCTTTTTGGCATTTCTTGGTAAGATTTAGGTTTAGTCCCTGAATTAGAATATCACTTTCAGAGATGAGGATAAGAACTGTGTTTCACCTCGGACCATATTGGAGGTAGGTGTCGCTTGTTTTGATTTCTGTCGGAGCTAAGCAATGATTTGAGGTCACCGTCACTTTCCAGTGAATCTTGTGTCGTAACATAGCTGAAGTCCATCCCTGGCGGTATTACCTAACATGCACAAAAGTATTTAAGCTTAGAAGTCTTTGAATACAAGCGATTTGAATTTTGAACGCTTCCCTTGTGAACAGGGGATGTTTGCTTCAAGAAAACTTTAGAAGTAATTTCCCAGTTTAAGTCAGATCTTAGGTGCGGAGAGCAACATTAAGAATCTTGTGCTTACCGCCATCCTCGGCATGCAGCGTCCAAGGCAACTTACTCCTCGACGTCTCCTGATCCTCAGCTTCCTCTCCAACTTGATATCAAACCCATCGTACAATCCCCACTGCTCGTCTATCTCCTGCTTGGTGCTGGTCACCACCATTTCAGCTGCATCCAACCCCAACTCCTCAGCCTCAATCCTCCTCATTATCCTGTATGTTGTGTTTATGTCCTCCCTCGACAGCCTTCCCTGTTTGAGCAATTGCTCAAACTTGTTTCGTCCCAGGGAATGACCTGTCAGAACCATTGGCACGTTCAGGACACCAGACAGGTGAGCTGCCACCTCTCCAGCATCCGCATAGTGGCCATGGATCACATAAGGCCAAGTTGGCTTTCCTCCATTGACTTGTTCACCTAGAACCCTCGCCATGTTTACAATGTGGTTCAGAGCCCCATCAACAAATTCTGGAATATGTGGCCAAAGTGACTCTTTTGGTATGTACCTGTAGGAAGTAAGAAAGTAAGAACTTGTTAACTTCCAACTTCAAAATTAGCATATTTTTAAAAAGATTTCTTGAGAGTTCTGCTTATTTACTTATCGCGAGGACCACAAGGGATACGGATTATGTAGGCTCCGCAGCTACCACTGCCGTCAGATGGGCAGGACAACATCTCAATGGGCTCACCATAGCTGGAGTCTACCTCCGGTGAGGCTATTTGTCTGGTCAGGAGATCCACACGATAAACCCCTTTTGTATTGGCCAGAGCTCGAGCAAGTTCAACAACATATTTTACCTTAAAAAGATCAAAGAGAAATACGAGAATGTCAGGTTTTTTTTAGAATTTTGGTTTAGACGAGGCAGTTTTCTGTAGCTTCAGATTCTACAAATTTCCAACCTGACCACCAGTATCAGAATCCCTCCCTAATTCCATGTTATCTCCACGAACTAATCCATGTATACTACAAGGACAGAGAACAAGTAATGTGCCAATTTTGAATGCTAGCAAAGGAAGAACTCCTTTTATGATATTTAGTGTGTACTGTGGAATACCTTATTAAGACAATGTAGAGATGTCTGAACTTATCATCTGACCAAATTTGAGTATCGGAGTTGATCCTGGACAAGTCCTTGGCAGATTCCAAAAGATTGGAATCACCCTTCTCCTTCTCACCTTCGGAGAGCTCTGATAAGTCATCAGCTGCATCATTACGACCTTGCTCACGTACGAGACGACGTTTAGCAAGCTTCCGCGCATCATCCCAGGCTATCTGCAATGGTAACACATCCTGGTTCTTATGCAATCACCGCACATTGAAATGTTCTTGTATGCAACATTCATACATACTGAACTCGTTTTTTTTTTTTTTGAAAAAAGTATCAATTTTGCTATTCAGGTGAAAGATTATGGAAATTCGGGTGAAAAACGGAGAATGGATGGAGAGTGACCTGTTTCTTTTTACGGGCAAGATGCCAAATGCGCCAGCACATATTCTCAAGCCTGTTACTGCGTTCACGAGTATTCCTTGTCGCTATTACCTGTCACATTCACCACATTCATCGTCACTCACAAGTTTTTTCTCATTCCTCCTTGCTTTTTCACTCAATAGTAAAGGAGATGGAAAGGAAAATTTAAAAGTTGAGCTACCTTTTTTTTTCATCTTGAACCAATTTGGGGTTATGGTTTTAACTTTTTTAAGTTTAGTTCTCTGTATTAATTCTTGAGTTCACTTTATTCACAGATTTAATCTTTGATGGATTTAGTGTACTTTTTCTTTCATCTTGCGCGTTTTGATCGAACTTCAATCGAATTATGTATATGGTCTGCACGATTTTATGGCTGAATATGAAAGAGTAAGCCCTTCCTAACTGTTAGATGCATGAGTCATTTTGCTTGCGCGTCTCTTTCTTATTTAGCATTTTTGGGAGGTTAAGAGGAAGATAACTTGAATCTTGACTGATAACAAACCTCATGGTTAGAACTTGTTTTGTTTGGCCTTTTTGTAAATCATAGCATGCTTGTGTATGTGGCCCCTATTCTGTTATCTTAAGCTAGTTGTTTCATGTGGAACTGGTGAGCCTATCTTTCTAAGCAAAAAGATATGTCATAAATATTTTTAAAAAAGTGGCACAACATCTGCAAGCAAAAGGACAGTGCCCCATGAATTAGGAGTGGCATCCACCCATCAAGTACAAAACTAAAACTCAAGATTAAAAGTAGATGAAACATCTAACAGTGAATTAGT